TTACCGAATAATCTTTAAATTTTATTATTTCTAGTAGATTGTTCTAGAACATTTATTTTTATTGTAATAAGCACCCTCTGTTATCTAGTAAACGTCACTATTTAGGTACCAATTCTAAATTTAGTGATTGACGATGTTTATCGATTGGGATTATCGATAAAAAAATATACAGGATGCCGATTTAATCCTTTACAATATTTAAGGAGGTAAAACAGTCAAAGATATTGTACACATACCAACAAAAATGAGTAGCATATACCAACTATGCTAAGTACCCTACTTTATGTGGAGCAAGGGTAGGAAATTTTTTTTAGGCTAGCTGATGAGATTTTCTGTGTTGCTTATGAGCATGCTGAGGATACTTGCTGTGTTAATGTTTAGCAATACAGCAAGTCTTCTCTATTATATACCAGGCTTCATTGTCTGGTGGTTTTACACCGGGCTTCATTATCTGGTGGTTTTCAAGGATAAAGCCATTACAGATCCTCGCTTACAGTGATAGGAGAGGGCAATAGATTTCTTACATTAAAAACAATTTGTACTGTTAAAGATACTAGATGCAAGAAGTTGTAGGTTAAGCCTGAGTTAGAAAATAAGGTAAAAATTTATAATAACAATTTTTGTTGATGTGGGTAGTGTCTTTAAGTACTGCAGCAGATGAAACGTGAAAAATCGTGAAACGGCTTTTAAGTTCAGTGTTTTCCTAAAATATTTTAGATTTCAAGTGTATTTTTGTTATAGAAACGAATTTAAAAACATAGAGGCGCTCTCTTATTGGATTTGACGTTTCTCGATGTGTCTTTAACGCCGACCGATCAATCATACGCTATTATTATAGCAGCTAATGGACCGAGTGATGTCATGCCACCAAGGTGACAACCAAAGTGACTGCTGTTTGAATTGATTCTTAGTTATTGGAAATTAAATATTTTATTTCATGACACTAAAGGGGCGTAAAAAGTTAATATGATTTTTTCTTGTGATGGAAGTCATGATAAATAGATTTGTACAGTAGGTAAAACAATTATGTATATTCACTATTATTATATCGAAAAGCAATTCAAACTTAGTAATCTTCAACGACATTATCGATACTTATAATCGAAGCGGTAACATTCCTAAAACGAGGTTATATTTATTAGCATCACCTACTGGGTAATAGCTAAAATGTTGTCTTAGTAAATGCTTAGCGTTGTTTTGCTATTTTTAGCTAGAGGTTGCCACACGCGCACTAGCTCAAAGTTTTTGTATATAAATGTTCCCAATGTCCGCTCTATTAGTATACCTATATATTTAAATCTCTTTGATACTTACCAAAAATTACCTTTTGTGAGAACTGAGACGCCATTTTGAAGTTCATAAACTTAGTCTTACTCAGACTTAACTCCTACTTTATTTCGCATTTTTAAAAAGACTAAGCATGTAAATATTCATTATATCTTTTTTTTTTAATTTCTACAATGAGAAAATCGACTACACATTAGAATGTGAATATTATACTCGCAATGTAGTTTGCGCTCAATTTTGAGAACCGTGACTAATTGTTGCATAGTTTATGTACGAAATGAATGAAATGGATGTGAAAAAAGCTACTACCTACTAACTTGAGCACCCAAGCGGACTTTACCCGAAGTTTTTAATAATAATCATGTCCTTCTGAATGCCTGATAACGTACTTACATAGTGAAATAACCACTTTTTTTTTTAAATTGAATAACTGAGTCGAGGTTTGTGATTCGATTTTTATGCTATTGAATCGGTCCGCTAGAAAACCTTATAGTTTTGAATCACTGGCCTCTATACATACAAATACGCCTTTGAATGATGTCTGTGCTTGGAATCCATCCGGAAAATTGCTAGATCATAAGCACACGATCAGATCTTTGCAAATATCTAATAAGATTGGCACATGCCTAGTATCAGAGATGTGCCAACTCGCGAGGAACTTGACTCGAGTTGTAAATCATGTAACTCGAATTGAACTCGAATTGGCAGAGCGAAGCTGAGTCAACTTGTTGAAGTTACACTTCTTTTGGCGGACTTCAGAAAAATGATGAAAGTGATTTATTTTACGATGCACACGCACACCGACACCCAAAAACGGCAGCATGAAGTTGTTACGATGCGCACGCACACCGAAACATAAAAGCGACAACTTCAGTTGGTAATTGTCTGTCAACTTTCAAGTTTTCGTGAGAACTGATAACTATACTCAAGGTAGTTATTCAAATATACAACTTGGCACTACAATGATGACTTTAATTTAATACATGGGTAGGGCTAGTGTCCATTAATCATATTAATTTTGATAGGTTAAAATAACTCGAAAATTGAAAAAACAAAATGTTAAACAAACTAAATAATAAAAAAGTAACTAAAATTGGGATAACCCTTGCAAAAATTCATTCATGATATTACTTACACGCGTTACAGCACGCGCTGGCAATCGCACAACGTGTCTTGCACCTACTCGTGATCAGTCCGATTCTTTGACGGCTTATTATCAAAGAAACCGAGCGGCACCGGCGTGGCGGCGCGCGTTTCATGTGGTACCTACAATGGAGGTGCTTAGTCAAACACTTATCATATCACCCTCTCTTGTTACAATTAGTTATATCTGTCATCACTAATCACTGCTTTTATTTGTCTTTATTTTATTTTAAAGCTAAACGGCGTTTCATGTTTTCCCGCACATTTGAAAATAAATTGTCACTTATGTCCATTTCCTTCAATTTCTCAAACGCATTTATTATTTGATGGCGTAATTGTTCCACCGAATCCACGTTCTTCGCGTACACATCATCTTTGATGAACCTCCAGAAAAAAAAATCGAGTGACGTGAAGTCTCGCTGACCACCTACGAGGTCCAAATCTACCAATCCATTACGCACCAAACGTGTCATTTATCCACTGCCTGGTTGTTTGCCTGTTGCACATTCGTTGGTATTGATGGACGTTTAGGCTGTTTGTATATTCTGGCACCGTATCATTTAGTAGTTTAACAAACCTTTCTACATTCAAAGCCCCATCAATGAATATGGGTCCGATGATATTGTTACCGTGAATAGCTGCCCAAACATTTACCGAAAATCTGTGCTGTTGGGCTGACTCCCTCCAAACGCGCGGATTTTAGTTTTGGATGCCCAATAGTGCAGATTACGCTGGTTCCACATGCCGTTTCTGGTGAACGTACTTTCGTTAACCAACAAATTTGGGAAAGAAAGTCACTGTTCTCTTCAATTTTACCCAGTAACCACTGACATTAATTCACTCTTATTAATTTATAATAGCAGAGTATGTACTTTTCTAAATTTGAATGGGTGCCACTTTTCATGCTTTAATATCCCATGGACGGTTCTATGATGAACTTGAAAATGCCTAGCGCTCTGGCGGAGGCTAGTTTTGAGTATGTCTTCGAAATATTGTGTCACATTTTTAGTTAACTGCATTAGGTTTTGTCGTGTAGGCAGTCGATGAGGGCGTTGAGACCTAGGATCCAATGGCCAGTTTTTGCGGATGCGCTGAAGAGCTCCTACATTAGTGCGAGGTTGAGTAGGGCATTTTATTGAATCGCCATATCTTTCGCGATATGTCTTTATCGCAAGGGCGGAATTTTGACGACATTCTCCGTAAATTAGGATCATATCCCCATATTCAGCTGCTGTGTAGTTCGGATTTGTATTTGCCATTACGATCACAAGTTTAAACATGCACTAATAACACAAATAAAAGCTTCCGTATCGTAAGAGATGTAAACTTACCTACTAGATTACAAAACGAAAACAATACTATATAAGAGTATTATGTATTTTTGGTTTGCGTCTTAGATATAGTAAGTACATATATTTAATAACAACTAGTTGTATACACAATCGTCACAAAATAATATCACTGTAACTTTATGATGTAGGTAATTATGTTATTACTAATTTAACTGTCACAAATTATTCTTAAATAATGTGTTTATATGAACGATGAACGAATTGTGCTCTTGTTTGCTCGCATATTTTGTTTAATTATCTCCAGCCCGATGACGAGTTATTGATTATCTGACTAGAGTTAACTCGAACTCGTAAATCGAGTTGAAGCATCCCTAAGATGTCACTGTCAGTGTCAGGTCAGGTGACAGTGTCAGAAGTGCTCCTGAGTTTTGGCGGAAACTTGACCAGCCAGCGGCGGTCGTAGACTAATATATAATACTGGAGAACTGGCGGCGGTTTGCTGCTCCTGTACTATTGTTTAAATAATGGTTTGAAGTGGACTTTGATATGTAAAAGTGGTGCGATTTTGTGTATTAATTGTCTACGCATGTGAACTATTACTGGAAACAGTGAAACAAGTGCTCTGATGGTGATGGATTCTCAAGATAAGCTGTTTGTTTCCATAGGCGCCTTTAGATACCAACTGTCAGCTGTCTACTGGATCAAATTGCCGTCAAAATCTCCCAAGAACTGCACAATGTGACGCATTAACATATTGTGAAGCAGTGAACTATGAAGGATAATTACAAAAGATAAGGCTGTATGGCTTATAGTTCCTTTGCCTGCTCTCTCGAGCGAATAATAAAAACAACAACAACAACAACAACAGAAGTGCTCCTGCTGTTATCGCTCAAAGAGTATAGTAATATAGGTTGTCGCTGTGCATGTTGGGTGCAAAGAGAATATAATCACTACGTGTTGTTGCGTGCGGAGTGCGGGGGTACGGGGTAGGGGTAGTGTGCTAGTGGAGCGAGTTGTGATAAGAATATAATGTAATATTTTGTCATTCTGTGGCGTTATGGTATTAGTATAATCGGAATTTCCTTTATAGGAGGTCAATTAAATGAACTATCACAATCAAGTTTAGCTATAGACTGTACTAATACTAGCTCTCATCAATAATACACTTAATAATTATCATTTAATGCTAGCTCCCGTTGAACTATAAAATTGGAAGTGACAGCGCTTGTGCCAGATATATTGATTAAAAATATACATTTACAGCATATTATTGTTACTATGGATATTCTAGTAACTTTATTCTACTTGCTGTTTTCGTTTTGCGTTATTTATCCACCCACGGAGTTTGTTTCTGCTGGTTTCACCATACCCCAAATCTTTGAGGGGTTTTTGGGTTCAGAAAATGTTAATTTCATAGGATATCATATGAAGAGGATAACAATTACGGCGTTTATACATTCTTCTTTACCGCTCGGATATGTATTCAGTCTTTGGTGTGGTGGTGAACGGGGATCGTGGATGCTGGCATCAGCGGCTGCGACAGCTATTATACCGCTGCTAATGTGCTATAAGATAGTATGCTGGTGGGAATATGACAAAAGCAAACATCCTGTTGTGAAGCCTCTTCTGTGTTATACTACTCCAGGCAGTGATTGGCGTGTAGTTGCTAATTATATTAATGTTGAATTTCGAAGGTGAGCAGACATTTGATGAATTATATTTAAATGCACAATCAATGCTTAGGTAGTTTATAAGTGTTTAGAGCATAGTTTCTGTTTATTGTACAGTGCCTGGGCACAGAATAAAACTGTACTTCATTCCAGCTTATATTCCTTTTAACATAGAAAAGCAATGCGACATCTATATTATGGTTGTAGTACAAATGGGCTTAATCTAATGTGGTAAGGATTTCACTCCCACTGAATACAAGCATGAAATGGCAGCTTAATGCTGCTGTATTTTGTATAATGTGTGAAGATACCCCTTTTACTGAAATGATGTATTCATAAAGTATATGCAAGACAAATGTCTATGAGCCACAGCATCCACTTACCATCAGGTGGACTGTGTGCTTGTTTGTCACCCTTATTCTATAAAGAAAAAGAAGAAAAACAATGAGTGCTAAAATTTTTTTAAATTTTTGAGTTATTTTTGTCACAAAACCAGGCAAACCACTACCTTAGTTTAGATCAGTAGTATTCTGATTGTAGTGGGAAATTAAAATATTCAAATAATAGAAAAACTGATACAATTTGAAATCAAATGAATTGACTGAATTGACAGGGATGTTAGATGGCAAAATTATAGGCCTATTAGAATTGGCAGGCAACTTTTTTTATAGAATAATGGTGACAAACAAGCATAGTCCACCTGATGGTAAGTAGATACTGTAGCCCATAATGATAAACAGTAAAAAGGGCCTCCGATTCTTTACACTCACCATACGAAACACAGCACAATTAAGCTGATATTTTACACTGGTATGCTGTGAGAGCATGGTCTTTCCCTGGTCAAGCCATCCCATTCATACTACAACTATAATATAGCTGCAGTATAGCCCCACATACACTAACTACCCCAATATCACTTTGCATAAAATGTAAATAACATACGCGCTAAGTTATTTACATTTTATGCAAAGTGATATTCCCCGACTGCTAAACATATGCCTTTTCTTTATTACAAATTTAATATACATTTCCATCATAGTCCTCAGTGGTAGTCATGCATGTTGAGCTTTCATTGTCTGAATTAATTGCTGTCCATGGGCTGCCATAACCACTTACGGTCAGTTGAAGTGTTAATTTATTTATTACTTTATTATTTACAAAATATCAAATGTCTACATGCAAAGTTTTATTTACTTACAGTGTCGATAAAGTGTGCATTCCACTGACGGCCACCAGTAAGTTTGTGGCCACAGAAACATGGCTGATTCGAGTAACTCAATATGGAATGAATGCTGTGAAACAAAGTGACTGTTCTTTGGTAGCAACTGCTGTAAGTTGACATTTATTTTTAATATGTATAATATGTTCTCAAATCTATCATCATTTTCAACATGTAAGTCTTCTGCTGGACATGGGCCGCTCTGGTCATTGATAGACATCTTGCACTGTTGACACTGCTGACAGTTGGTGGTCAGGCAATTTTACATCTGGAATAAATGAGATGGTATACTGCCATCTATCGAAGGTCATAAAATTTCTCTGTCATTTTCCATAATCATTCCTAAATTCTTAATTCATTAACTTTTATAAAATCCACACCTATATTCAGGCATTTCCAAAATTGAGCCTGGTTTACATATCTTGAATATTCACTGTGTCAGGCTGGAGTATGAGTACAGAGCCAATGTTAGTGTTTAGGGGTATTCCCGGTAGTCTTACAAAGTAGTTTTACCAATAGAATAGAATAATTCTTTATTCAATATTGATTATAAGTAAATCTTATTGAAAGTTATTTTTTACTTTAGCACTGGTTCGAACAAATCCTGTCCTGGGAAGAACCAGCAAGAAACCCGGTGGGACTTTTTTAAAATAAATTTTACAATATAAATGATTACAAACTATTTACAAAATTTATTTTAGAAACAGCTTGGAAGCGACCACCTCATTCCCAGGGGTTATTATCAACCATGTATTCATTTATATTATAATAACTATTTTTATACAGCTTTTGTTTAATTAAATATTTAAACTTAGTAATAGAGATAACTGGTATATTTTCTGGGACTTTGTTGTAATAGTGTATTCATTGCCCCAAGAACGAATTACTGACTCTGTGGAGTTGAGAGACCGGTATCACTAGCTTGTGTTTGTTCCTATTGTTTACAGAGTGTATATCACTTTCTTTACTAAAACTATCTTTCTTTTTGTGAACATACATTAAATTTTCGTAAATATACTGAGAGGCCAAAGTTAATACATTTATTTCATTAAATTTTTCTCTAAGAGCCTCACCTGAATAAGATTACTGATAAGACTAATAGGAACTTCCTGATGGGAACTTCGTGTTGAATCTTCACGGCGTGTTGTATTCTTATTAGTGTTACCAAATAATTTTATTAGTAAAACTACTGGGAATTTTTTACCAAGTAGAACTAACTGTTAAGAAAATCACTTGGGTATAAAATATTTGGTAGTACAGTGGAATATTTTCATCAGTATAGCTACTTTATTTTATTTTTGTCATAATAATGCAGTTTACATTAATATTGTTTGGCCTGATTTAACTGAGGTTTGTTTTTATAAATTGTAGAGCCACACAGCAGCTATATTATGGTTGTAGCATGAATAGATCTGCTCAGTTGGGGTAGGACCACACTCACAGAGTACTCGCGTAAAATAGCAGCTTAATGCTGCTGTGTTTCGTATGGTGAGTGTAGAGAACCGGAGTCCCTTTTTACTGGAAACCAGGCATTCCATTCTCAGGGGTGACTGCATTTTCATTTTTAATCGAGGATAAATGTAGATGTCTATGGGCCGCAGTATCCACTTACCATCGGGTGGATAGTGTGCTTGTTTGTAACCCTTATTCTATAGAAAATAATTAGTGCACTAGTCATCAACTCTTATCAATCTGTGAGATTTCGGGTTGGTATTTACGATATTATATTTACTTATGTTGACGCTGAGAATCGTGGCTTGAAATCCCCCACGGAACAAGGTTTTGTATTGCGTACAAATAATTGTTTGGGGTCTTGTATTCTGTCCTTATGAAATTTATGTGAGTAAACTGCCAACAACTTAAGAGAAAATACAAGTGTCATATTCAAAGATTTATTGTTATTCTATTTGGGGGTACTTGTTTACTTTGTTCATTAATAAAGTAAATTGAATGTAGGTAATTTAATATTCACTCATGACACTTGTCTTTTGCAATGCTACCAAGCTTAATAGATAACAATATTCAACCAAGGTGTTTTATTCTATATTCTGAACATAATAGTGGCGACGAGTGGTGAAAAGTGTTAAAAATGGACATAAAATCAGTGAAATTCGATGAGTACAATCCTCAAACAGATAGTTGGGACAATTATCTAGACCGTTTAAAATTTTGTTTCGAGGCTAACGGCGTCATATTAGATTCTGCTAAAAGAGCAAATTTTTTCACAGTGTGTGGTTCACGAGTTTACGAAACATTACTTGCATTAATTACTCCAAAAAAAGCGGTTGATGTGACATTCAGTGAAATAGAAACAATTTTAACAAATCATTATAGCCCAAAACCTAACGAAATTTCTGTGTCTTATAAATTTTATAATTGCAATCAAAAACGTGATGAAGGTGCTTCAGAATACATTGCTCATTTACGAAAACTAAGTTCGGGGTGTAACTTTACTGATTTAGAAAGAATGTTACGGGATAGACTGGTATGCGGTATGTGTGACAGTAAACTGCAATATGAGTTATTGAAACGAGACAATTTGCGTTATCAAGATGTAGTTGATGCGATGTTATCAGCCGAAAGTGCAGGGCGAGATGTTCGTATGATTCAAGGCAACACAACAGGAGCTATGACTCAGTCAGAACTAGCATTACCATACAGTTCAGCGAGTGGTACAAGTGAACCGATGGATATAAATGCTGTACAATCAAGAGCAAATGTCCGCTTTTGTTATCGTTGCGGTGACCGCCATTCAGGAGAATGTCGTTTTGTAAATACAGTGTGTCGGTATTGCAAGAAAAAAGGACATTTGGAGAAGATTTGCATAAGTAAGAAGAGGAATTCTTCTCAGCAAATAAAGTTTATATCAGAAGCAGATGATCATTTAAATGGAGTTTATTGCGTTCATACTAATAGCCGTGTCCCACCATACGAAGTTGAGTTGTCACTTGCAGGCGTACCAATCCATATGCAAGTTGATACAGGAGCTAGTTTTTCGCTAATTAACGAGCAGACATGGCACATACTACACTCTCAATTATCGGATGCTGTGTTACAACCTATTGCAATATCGTTGCGGACCTGGACTGAAACACCGGTCAAACTTCTTGGGCAAATTACGTTGCCTGTGTGTTACAAGAATATTTCGAAGGACCTATGTGTTATTGTAGCGAAGGGTAATGGGCCCAACCTTCTGGGTCGAGACTGGCTGAACCCTCTTAACATTACTATGAATGTCAATTATGTTTCCAGTGCTGAGTTATTGGAAATGGATAGTGTATTATTGAAACATAAAGAGGTATTCAAAGATGGACTCGGTACATACCGTGGACATCCAGTAACAATACACATTAAACCAGGAGTTATTCCAAAATTTGTAAAAGCACGTCCTGTACCATTTGCTATAAAGCAAAGAGTAGAGATGGAAATAGATCGTCTAGAAAGGGAAGGAGTTTTACATCCAACGACTTTTTCGGAGTGGGCCACACCAGTTGTGCCAATAATAAAAAAATCTGGTGAGATTCGTTTATGTGGAGATTACCGCAGTACAGTTAATGAAGCAACAGAGTCGGATATTTATCCCATGCCCACGACAAATGAAGTCTTCGCTACCATAGCTGGAGGAAGATTTTTCACAACTTTAGACCTAGATAGAGCTTACACACAAGTAGTTGTGGATGATAATACATCAAAGCTTCTAACATTAAACACGTGCAAGGGGTTATATACAGTGCATAGGTTGGCCTTTGGGGTAAAAGCAAGTCCAGGAATTTTCCAGCGCTTAATGACTTCTTTACTGGCTGGCATTCCAGGAGTGGCAGTTTTGATAGATGACATAATCATATGTGGTCGTACTATGTTAGAAATGCAAAAAAGATTAGATTTAATACTAGAATTGAAGGGGCAGGATTACGCTTAAATAAAATGAAATGTCAATTTGCTAAAGAAAAAGTCGAATTTTTAGGCTATGTTATCGATTCTGAGGGAATACATCCTGCACCAAGTAAAGTCGAATCTATAGTAAATACTCCAGCACCCAAAAATAAACGAGAACTGCAAGCATTTCTCGGGTTGTACAATTTTTATGAAAGGTTCATACCTCATAAAGCGACAATATTTGAACCATTGCATCGATTATTAGACTCTTCACAGACATGGACATGGTCTGAGCGTGAGCAAAGTTCATTTGACATGGCTAAAAGCTTACTCGCATTTGATTTAACTCTAGTTCATTATGATGTAAATAAGCCAGTAGTTCTTACCTGTGACAGTTCGGAATATGGGGTAGGAGCAGTATTGTCACATGAAATGGAGGATGGCCAAGAACGGCCAATAGCAATGGCATCGAGAACCCTTCATGCACATGAACGACGTTATTCTCAGTTAGATAAAGAAGCCACATCAATTATGTTTGGCATTAAAAAATTTCATAATTACCTCATGGGTCGTAATTTTCGGATAATTACTGACCACAAACCATTGCTTGGTATGTTTAACCCTAAAAAACCAATGTCAAATATGTTGTCTCCTCGATTGACGAGGATTGCGATTGCTTTAATGTCTCATGATTATGAGATTGTATATAAACCGGGATCACAAATAGGTAATGCAGACAGTCTAAGTCGATGGCCACATCCAGTCAACGAACAACCAGAACAACAGTTGTCTGAAGTTTTGTTGATGGCTGAGACTCCGGAGGATTTTCCATTTAATGCTAAAGACATAGCTATAGAAACGAAACGCGATAAAACTTTATCTCAGGTTATTTATTATGTTCAACGTGGTTGGCCTGCTAGAATAACAGACGCAGATTTACGCCCATTTTGGCTGCATCGTGCAGAGTTATCACTACAAGAGGACTGTATATTATTGGGCTGCCGTGTATTAGTACCAAAATTAATGCGCCGTAAAACTTTAGAAATGTTGCATAAAACACACACAGGGATAGTGCAAACAAAAGCACTTGCAAGGAGCTATGTGTGGTGGCCAAATCTTAATGAGGATATAGAGACACTGGTAAGAGGCTGTCCGAAATGTTTAGAGAATCGCCATATGCCTCAAAAATCCAGTCATGTATGGATTACACCCACAAAACCATGGTCAAGGATTCATATTGATTTTGCTGGACCATATCATAAAAAATATTTTTTAATCATAGTGGATGCATACTCACGCTGGCCAGAATTATTTATGGTAAATAACACTACCTCATCGACAGTTATAAGACTTTTGAGAACAACATTTGCAACACATGGCTTATGTGAAGTGATGGTTTCTGATAATGGACCATCATTTGTCTCAAAAGAAATGAATGAATTCCTAAAAGCTAATAACATACGTCATATAACTACAGCACCATACCACCCATCTACAAACGGGTTGGCAGAGAGAATGGTACAGACAATTAAGGACAAACTGTGCAAAATGGAGGATTTAGCATGGGACACTAAAATACCAAATTTGTTGCTTGGTCTTAGAGTTACACCATGCACCGCAACCAATAAGAGCCCATCTGAACTACTAATGAAGAGATGTTTACGTACACTTTTAGATACTATACATCCAGACTCAGCAAAAACTGAGAAAATCGAAAAACAAATTATCAATAACAGTCAGAGGAAAAACAGGGAAACTAATGTAGGTCAGGAGATTATGTACCGCAATTATAGCAGTGCTGGCCCAAGATGGCTGCCAGGAAAAGTTATTAACAAAAAAGGGCCATCAAGTTATGAGATCAGAACCAATAATGGTATAATAATCAATAGACATATTGATCAGTTAGTTAAAAAAGGGCCTAATATTAGTTGTGAGGATTCTGAAATGCAGGAGGGACAAAGAATGATTAGAACCGCTGAATCAGTAGAGGGTGTATGTCCTGAGAGTTCAGATAGTGTCAACAATGAAGAAAATCAAGAAAGTAGTCAAGACACTGATATAATAATTGAGATTCCAGACTCTAATAAATGGGCAGAGATGTTAGGAATACCACCCACAGCAGAGACAACACTTCCAACAAGTAGAAAGATAAAACATAAGTCAAGTTTACATTCTAAAACACCATATGAAAGATCAAACGCTAATAGAGAAAATCTTTATTTATCTTAAGCTTGTATATGTGTATTAATATCTTATGTTACACTGATTGATTTCAAGTGTTATGTATCTTGTTTAAATAATTATATTGTTTAGGTTACTTACTAATGGGGAAGGTATGTCATATTCAAAGATTTATTGTTATTCTATTTGGGGGTACTTGTTTACTTTGTTCATTAATAAAGTAAATTGAATGTAGGTAATTTAATATTCACTCATGACACTTGTCTTTTGCAATGCTACCAAGCTTAATAGATAACAATATTCAACCAAGGTGTTTTATTCTATATTCTGAACATAATAACAAGGGTGTTGGAGCATTTTTCAGAAAAAAAAAATCAATAGCATTAAATGATTAATGAAAGAATATCTCGAATGTATCATCTGATATTAAAATATTATCAAAGAATTCCTACATTTATATGACATACTAAACATATTTTTGTTCAGTATTAAATAATACACACAGGAAGTGGACCTGGTCGAGCCCCGACGGTTCGACAAAAAATGAGATTGACTTCATTATGACGACCAGACGACAACTGTTCAGTGATGTCTCAGTGATCGCGAGGGTGAAAACCGGCAGCGATCACCGAATGGTTAGAGGCACACTGAACCTAAACGTTAAGTTGGAGAGGTCTCGTCTAATGAAGTCAACGCTCTGTCCCCCTCGTGCTCTAATCCAAAGTCCCGAAACCTTTCAGCTCGAGTTACAAAACCGTTTTCAGTGCCTAGAAGACTGCAATGAAGTGGACGATTTGAATGAAAAGCTCGTGGAAACTGTCCATGCGGTCGGAGCTAAGTTATGCAAGACCTGCCGCAGAAGAACACAAAAACTCTCCGATCACACTCTTAATCTCATGGCTGTTAGACGGGAGATGAAGCTACATTCTTCAACAGATTTAACAGCATACAGGCAACTGAACAGACAGATCTCCAAATGCATGCGGCGGGACTTACGCAAATTCAATACAGCTCGTATTGAAGAAGCGATCGAGCGGAACCGAGGCTCCAAAGTCTTTGCCAGAGATCTGTCTGCCAGAAAGCGCCAACTGTCAAAGCTGAAGACAGAATGTGGCAGCATCGTTTCCGGGACACCTGAGATTTTGAGTGAGATTGAGAGGTTCTATGGGCAGCTGTACACGTCATCGTTGGAGCCGCACGCAAGTGTGAGTAACGATCCAAGAGCGAGTCTTATCCGACATTATTCCGATGATATCCCGGACGTCAGTCTGAGCGAGATTAGAATGGCTCTCCAGCACCTTAAAAACGGCAAGGCCCCAGGCGAGGATGGAATTACAGCGGAGCTTCTGAAAGCGGGTGGAAAACCGGTACTTGAAGTCCTTCAGAAGCTCTTTAATTCCGTCCTCCATGGTGGCATTACACCGGAGGCGTGGAGCAGAAGTGCGGTGGTCTTGTTCTTCAAGAAAGGCGACAACGCTCTCTTGAAGAACTACAGACCGATTTCCCTTCTGAGCCGCGTCTACGTGCTGTTTTCGAGAGTCATTACGAATCGTCTCGCGCGCAGACTTGACGACTTCCAGCCTCCCGAACAAGCCGGTTTCCGAAAAGGCTTTAGCACCATAGACCACATACATACCCTTCGGCAAATTGTACAGAAGTCCGAGGAGTACAATTTGCCACTATGTCTGGCGTATGTGGACTATGAGAAAGCCTTTGATTCCGTCGAAATTTGGGCGGTGCTGCAGTCCCTTCAGCGATGCCAAGTTGACTGTCGGTATATCGAAGTGTTGAAGTGCTTGTACAGTAGGGCTACGATGGCTATCCGAGTACAGAACCAGAGTACGAAACCTATCCAATTGCAGAGAGGTGTAAGACAGGGTAACGTCATATCCCCGAAACTCTTTACCGCTGCATTGGAAGATGTTTTCAAGCTTCTGGACTGGAAAGGATACGGTATCAACATCAATGGCGAGTACATCACTCACCTTCGATTTGCCGACGATATAGTCCTTATGGCAGAGTCGCTGGAGGACCTAAGCACTATGCTCAATGACCTCAATAGTGTTTCCCAACGGATAGGTCTTAAGATGAACATGGACAAAACAAAGATCACGTTTAATGTCCATGTCACACCTATGCCGGTAGTTGTTGGGAACACTAAGCTCGAAGTTGTTGACGAGTATGTTTACCTGGGACAAATAGTCCGACTAGGTAAGTCCAACTTCGACCGAGAGGTCAATCGACGGATTCAACTCGGTTGGGCAGCGTTCGGGAAATTACGGCACATCTTCTCGTCAGGTATACCTCAAAACTTGAAAACGAGACTGTACACCCAGTGCGTGTTGCCAGTGATGACATACGGAACTGAGACGTGGTCCTTCACTGCTGGCCGGATGAGGAAGCTCAAGGTCGCTCAGCGAGCTATGGAGAGGGCTATGCTCGGAGTTTCTCTGCGTGATAAACTCAGAAATGAGGATATCCGCAGTAGAACTAGAGTGACCGACATAGCCCAACGGATTAGTAAGCTGAAGTGGCAATGGGCCGGCCATATAGCTCGAAGAACCGACAACCGATGGGGAAGAAAGGTTCTCGAGTGGCAGCCTCGTACCGGCAGGCGAAGTGTAGGGCGTCCCCCCACTAGATGGAGTGACGACCTGGTAAGATATGCAGGAAGTCGATGGATGCAGGTGGCTCAGGACCGTGCTTTGTGGCATTCTTTGGGGGAGGCCTATGTTCAGCAGTGGACTTGTGAAGGGCTGTAATGATGATGATGATGATGATTAAATAATAAGTTGCTGACAGTAGAGAATGCACTCAACCAGTCTTGTACCACAAAGTAAGAAGAGTACTTTATTTTGTGCTAGTACTGTAGGATATGATAGTGGATTACAAGAACCACAAAAAATACAGAGTAAACAAAGAACAGAGAGGGTGAAGGTGCAGTCATCTTAACATAACTTAAAACCCTTTTCCATTTCAGACTGATAGCTACTCTCTTTCTACTACGGGCGAGGATGAGGTTCAATATGTAAACATAGAGGCAATACCGACCAGACCTGACGTAAATCAATTCTCATTCCGAATGACTACAACAGCCTTGCGAGAACTACAATCGAGATTGAGGGACCCTGTGCGTGTGCCGGAACATATATCCTTGATGCCTTCTGTCATTGAAAGATTTGTAACCGTGTTCAAGCATCATGTTGAACAGAACCCGGTGTACTATGTTGATCAGGTACAGTTTAATATTTCATTTTCACTTTTCTTTGACGTTGATTATAGTTAGAATAATAAAATTCAGTAAATAATAATTAGTAGTTAGTATCGCATGTTGTGTTTCGTATAATTGTGTTTGTAAAGTAACAAAATTCAATTATACATAAACATAAACACTCACGCCTGTCACCCAGAGGGGTAGGAAGCGATTATGGACTTCCATTTGGCACGATCCTGACACACCTCTCTCGCTTCCTCCACATCCATATACCTACGCATACACGCTCGTCGGTTAAAGGTACTCTTGATTTGGCCCATTTTTAATATATCGCCAATTTGGTCGATAAACTTTCGCCTAGGGCGAACCTTCCCGACTATGCCGTTCACCTCTGCAACATAAATTTGCTTTGTCACTCTTTCCTCATTCATTCTTTCTACATAGCCAAACCACCGAAGCATTCCTTTCTTAATCCTGGTCACAACATCATCTTGCAAACCACACTCTTCTCTTATTAAACAATTTCTCACTCTGTCATTCAGATTCATCCCTAACATACTCCTTAATGACCGCATTTCTACAGCATTTATTCTACTCTCATGCTTCTTCTGCCACACCCAACTTTCACTACCATACATTAAAGTAGGTACTAACATAGCATTGTGAATTGCCATATGTGCCTTTTTGGACACATTCTGACTTTTCACAATAGAGTGTAGAGCCCCATTCGCTCTATTTCCTGCATTAACTCGTCGTTCTATATCCTTATCATATCAACCATCCCTGCTAAATCAACCATCAATTATAATTTATAATATAAAAATAATTTATTGTTTGTTCATAAAATAAATGTGTGTGTACATAGATGATTTTAGTGACACAAAAAAGTGCATATCTATGGTAAAGTACTTATTGAATGATATAATTTTCATTGCTCTTCTTTTCTACCATCTTAAAGGAGGAGGTACTCAATTCGACTTTATGTTTTTTTATGTGTTACCTCATAACTTTTTTTTGGGTGAACCAATTTCGATGATTCTTTTTTTTATTTGAACGCTGGTGCTTCTCATGTAGTCCTATATAAATTTGATCAAGGTCTGACCAATAGTTTTGAGTTATTATTAATAATTTATATTGAAGTCGATTGTACAAATTTTTTAATTTTAAATTATATACGATTTATTCGATTTTGCTTTGATTAAATAATGTCCACAAGACTTAATTTCAGTCACAGCGGCCAGTATTAACGGAGACAAGCTATGTGTGCAGGACAGGACACACTCGTGTACTCTCATCTTACGCAAATGGCTAGTCTTTGAGGTTGACTGCCATGCCCGAAATCGCGCTTAGGGACATTTTTGTAGATCATACTGAGTATATCATGTAGTTGATGTTATACGATAAATGGAATTTATTAAGAAGTTTGTATAATATGTACAATTTCTGACTTAGGAACTGGAGCAGTGCATCGGTTGCATGCAAAATATGGCAGACGTGAAGATAGACCGTCGTTGCCTGCCTGTACCGGTGCTATTGGAGGGAATTGCTCCCCCACCTTGCCAGCAGTGCAACTGCAGGTTTGCTTCACATTTCTTATAATAAGTCCACTGACCTCTGTTATACAAGTATGCTATACTGGCTATACACCGTGACATAATGAGGCGATTTCATTTTTGCCATACACATGAAGGAACTACTGTTTTCGACGCCTCGGCAGTCTTGAAGACACCTTTCTAAAAGGCCGGCAACGCATCTGCAATTCCCCTGGTGTTGCGGTTGTTCATGGGCGGCGGTAGTCACTTACCATCAAGTGAGCCGTATACCCGTTTGCCCCCTCTTCTATAAAAAAAATATCGATAAAAATTCCATGTGCCCCGGCCTACTATTCTATTTATAATGATTTCTTATATTAACTCTAACACTACACATTGAATAAAACTACTTTTACGGATTTTTTCCGCATTTAATTAACTTATTTATCGTTTAACTAAATTATTTATAGTTTCGGGTGCTTTACAGTACCCGAAACGTCGGGAATTAATAACAATGAGATAAATAAGTTAATTAAACGTGAAAAAATCCGTAAAAGTAGTTTTATTCAACATTCTATTTATGTATCATTTTAATATAATGCCATACACTAAATAAATATATCTATTAATGCTATGTTAAACCTGCGTTAGTCTGTTTATCTACGTTAATGTTCCTAACGATAGAACGGGTTTTGTTCCGGGTATCAGCATTGGGTACGTATGGTTCATTCGCGAGGTTTAAAAAGGTCCGATGAGTAGAAAAACCTGGAGTAAGATAACTATAATATAACCATTCATTTAGCCCACGTACTATAGAAAATCAATAAGCTGCCAAAATATTATGCCTATTTCGAGAATATCTATAGGTACAATAAGAATTTTACAAACTTTAAATTACATCAAATAATATCATATCACAAATCATCGACGTCATAATCAATTTGATTCGGACGCCGTTTCACAAGTTTTATACTTTTTAGTTACAGTTTTAGTATAGAGTCAGTTGAAAACCTTTAAATTAATAAATATTTGATATTTATCTGTAGTCGGCGCATTTTATTGTTGTAAACAGATGTAGGCAGAACAAGACATCAACAGATTTTTAAGAGCCTGTATTATCAAATAGTTTTAATGTTTTAATATAAACTATAAGGATGCGTTTCCACAAGAGATGCGTAGTGAGGGATGTGTTTGTTAAGAACCAATAGAATCACTTCATTTACCTAGCCTCGCTCAGCGCAGTTCTAGTGGAAACTGCTCAGCGGAGCGAAGTTTTTGTACGTACATAACAAGGGAAGGATGTGTGCGAGGGTAGTGTTGCGATGGATGTGTGCGAGGGTTCCGCTCCTACCACACCCCACCCCGCTCGCATCTGAAACGAGCGCACTACACATCCTCGCACCGCCCAGCCACCTCGCATATCTCTGGTGGAAACGCAGCTTAAATCCCCTTATTTGTGGAATGTTAACCACACTTCCCTTTTGAAGATTAATTTTACATTATAATTGTTACTAAAAATAATTTTTATTATACAGGCTGTTTGGAAGATGGGTGGAAAGCCTGAAGGAGATGATATCTTAAACCATTTAGAACATGTTAAGCTAAACTTGACTTAGACGAAGTCTGCTCCATTTTTAAATTGAATTTTTAAAGTTTTTTTGTTAACAATAAAACCCTTTTTGTCAATTAATTGCTAATAGTGTCCAGTGACAGTTGTTATGATATTATTATTTATTTATGTAATGTGCATGTGTAATCATCAGAAAAACATTCTACGCATATTTAAGTTTATGAAATAAAAAAAATTAACGATATATTGTGTTTACGGCATGATAAAAAAATAAATTAAATAGCCTTTTTTATATTATTCTAAGCCAGCGCTTATCTACAATCCTACCTGATGGTAAGTGGTAAGGTAGCCTAAGATTGTGAAGCGCACTGACTTAATAAGCCTATTCACTCTAGCCTTAAAGACACCCACATTGTAATCGGATGGAAATACAGATCCTGGCAACTTATTCCAATCCTTTGCTGTACGCATGATGAATGATAGCATTTGTTGTTCAAATCTTTTTAAAAACATGCTTAGGTAATGCCCTTTCTTTTGAGGTATTATTTACGCAAACATCTCATCAACTCTTGCACAACGCTTTATTCAACGGGTCCAAAATGCTTGTGCAAGGTTCTGTTTTGATGTGCCATTAAGAGGTCATGTAAACTCATTCCTTAATGATAATAACACCCTTAAGATGGCCGCAAGACGCAAACTCCACTTTGCTTGTGCTCTATTCGGTGTTTTGAAAACAAAAAATCGGAAGTATCTGTACTCTAAACCAGCTCCTTCTACTTGACCGCATCCAGCGCAGAGCGGTTCGAATCGTCGACGACCGAGTTCTTTCCGATCGGCTTGACTCACTAGTACTGCGTAGAGATGTTACATCTCTTTGCGTATTTTATCGCATCTACCACGGGGAGTGCTCTGAGGAATTGTTCGGACTAATTCCAGCCGCTCAATTTCACCATCGCATATCGCGACAAAACTCGCGATACCATCCATACCATTTGGATGATTGGCGGTCCACCACTGTGCGATTTAGAAAATGTTTTCTTCCTCGCACAACCTCCTTGTGGAATCGATTACCACCAGCGATTTTTCCGGACCGATACGACTTAGGGACCTTCAAGAAAAGGGCCTACTACTTTTTAAAAGGCCGGCAACGCATCTGCAATTCCCCTGGTGTTGCAGTTGTTCATGGGCGGCGGTAGTCACTTACCATCAGGTGAGCCGCATGCTCGTTTGCCCCCTTTCCTATGAAAAAAAGACTGGTGTCGTGAACACAATAAGTATCTCACGCGTGTTTCCTCTCGCATATTAAGTATCCCTCGACATAGTTCCTCGGTCTTCAGAGGTAGTTACGAGGGCGGCACTGAAAATTTCGGGAATCAAGGAAGTGACACAACATTACTATTTAAAAATGTATTTATTGCTTTTCGAAGTATTCTCCGCGAAATTTGACACATTTTTCCATACGATGGAACCAATCATTGAAGCAACCATTCCATTCGGAAGTTGGGGTCTCCAAAATGGCCGTTTTTGCGTCCACAGCTTCTTCAGGTGATGAAAATCTCTGTCCACGCAATTTATTCTTTATTTTAGGGAAAGTATGAAATCATTAGGGCTTAGGACCTGTGGCAAACAAATGCTAGCATACCATTCTGCATTAACCGTTCTTTGTCCCTCATGAGGAATAGTAGTAACATGGCCGGTTTCGGAGACAAACGTGGCCACCATTTTTTTTGCAACACTCCGTGAACGAACAATTTTTGTTGGCTTTAACTCATTTTCGAACACCCAAACTCGTGACTGGTTTTTTGTTTCGGATTCGTACGCGTATATCCAGGATTCGTCACCTGATACGATGTTGTATACAGTAGCGATGTGTCGTTATGTCTTTTCTAAATAACGTAACGTTATCGTTATGGCACAATGGAAAACGTTATAATAACTGTCTATTTTCCATGTAACCGCAACTTAACAATATACCTTCATAAAGCAGTTATCATCAAAATTATTTTCGCTTCACTAAGTAAATACTAATTTAGTTGCTGAAATGAATTTTCCTTCGTACTTTTGATCTTTTGACATCTTTCTAGGAATTAAGGCATCCATTTTTCCTTATTTGTGTTGAGACTGCGGTACAGTACAACTGACCGCATCACGGAAGTTGGGTTTGACATCGAAGGCTGGCTCAAAAAGTTGTCTTTTAAGTTAGTGCTTGACGCAAGGACACCCAAAGTGTTCACAGGTCTCGAAGATCTAGCAATCGTTTGCTGTTCTAACGAAACTTGTGTGTACGCTTCTATATGTCGCTGCCGTAAATGTAACTTCAGATAACCTGAAGTCGTCTGAAAACTAAATCCGTTTTTACAAATATTACAACGCGCTTTTTTATTTAACAAAACCTTTTTTTTAGACTTCTTTTATGAACACTAATATCACTATGCGTGCTTTATGCTTCGAAATAAACTTGGAATTAGCAAATGAAGCAAAGTTTTTAAATAATAATATTACACCCAAAATTTAGACTATAAACTCAAGTTCAAAAGTTGAAGAACAGAAGGTTAATAATTATATTTCGTCTTAACAAGGTCAAGGCTATTAATGCAGTTTAACCTTACATTTTGGGTAACAAGTGTTATTTTTCAATATATGGCAAAAACCGGTATTTACTGTGTAGAATTTTATAATAAACAGCACGAGGTTTATTTTTATTGCTTTATTAAAAAAGACATATTGACAATTTGAAATAGTTATACAAGTGTCTGTATGAAAGAGAAAGAAATAAACTTATTTCTCGAATTTCGCTTCGCTCATCTACACGTTTCAATATGAGCCCCGCTGCAGTTTCGTTCTTATCGTACAAGGCATAACATTTGTTTTTGTACGGCAGCGAGTACGTGATGTTTTAATATCACGAATCACGATTCCAAGCCAACGCAACGTTGCAGCGTTGCGGTTCAAAGGTACTCTGTGCGTTGCGGATCGTTATAAGAAATAGACAGTTATGAGCGTTATGTATAACTATCTATACGTTATATGGTAAATAGACGTTTCCATAACTGTCTATACGTTATAATGCTCATAGCTAGTATACAGCATTTGAGGATCCTGCGTGGAATCTTTCGAGAGTTCTGACGCACCAAGTAACGCGAGCCGCTTTTTGCTCTTTACAGAGCAAATGCGGTATCCATCGGGAAAACAACTTTTTTACACCTAATTGTTCATGCGAGATTATTTGTATTTGACTCATGCCGCCAATGTCTAAAGTTGCCTGAATTTCGCGGTATGTCACATGTCGATCTTCCTCAATCAGCTTACACACAGCATCAACGTTTTCTTGGGTGACTGCAGTTTTTGGACGACCTTGACGGGGATCATCACTGAGTTTGACACGTCCACGTTGAAATTCAGCAAACCAGCGATAAATTGTGGTTTTGGATGGGGCTTCATCACCAAATGCAGAAATCATCCGGTCAACACACTGTTTTTGTGTTAAACTACTTCGAAAGTCATAATAAATCATCGCTCTTGAATTTTCTCGAGTCAATTCCATTTTCTCAACGACTAAACAAGTTTGGCAAAACCTTGTGACAAGACCGAGATTCTTTTTTTTAAATAAATAAATGGTATTCGATTTTTAAAACCAAGGACTATTCAATTAAAAAAAATTAATATGACAGGAACAGTGGAAATATTCCATTCCCGATACTTTTAGTGCAGCCCTCGTACAAATATACAGCCACCCACTGCTGGAATAATATACCACCACCACTACGTAATCTAAAGACTGAGAATTTTAAAATACAGTTAAGAAATTTTTATTACACGAACTGAAGGGAAGTGTAAAGTAGTAGTGCGACTGCTGATCATGGGGTCCCAGGTTTGAATCTCGGGTCGGGCCAAAAAAAAAATCAGTTATTGAGTTTTTCCATCAAGAAATTCTAAGTAGCTGCCCGGAGTCAGGAAGTTAGTGGTGTCTCACCACCGTGTCTAGGTCTGATCTCTCTCCGGTCGTGTCGGTTTACCGTCCCATCGGACTAAGAGAGTGAGGGAATAGAGAGTGCACGGTGCACTCTCTCTCTTAACGATGTTATCGCAAAAGAAAGGGCAATAACTAAGCATGTTTTTAAAAAGGTTTGAACAACAAAGGCTATTTTTTTATGATGGCATAAACACAACATTTCTTTAATTTTTTTTTGGTTTCTTAAACTTAAATAAAGCGTCAGTAGCCTAATGGCAGGCGAACGAACTCGAAAGGTCGTGGGTTCGAATCCGCCATTCGACTACACACTTCTAACACAAGCATTTAAAGCTTACCAGAAGTGGTTAAAGGGAATATTAGTAATGTTTAATAGCATGACTAGTATTTTAAAAAAATAAAAAAAATATGCGTAGAATGTTTTTCTGATGTTGAAGATGCTTGGAAATTATTTTGTGTGAGTAACAAAATAATTTCCAAGCATCTTCAACATCAACACATTACATAAATAAAAAATTATTATAAATAATTATAACCTAACAACTGTTACTGGACACTATTAGCAATTAATTGAAAAAAAAAGAGTTTTATTGTTAAATACCTTAGAAATTCAATACGAAAAAAAAGGAACAGACTTCGAATAAGACAAGTTTAGCTTAATATGTTCTAAATGGTTTAAGGTATAATCCCCTTCAGGCTTTGCACCCATCTTCCAAACATCCTGTATTACTAACATGAAACATAACTGAACTACACAACACGCTCTTTTTCTCGTTTAAAACTTTAAAATAACCTTAGACGTTTTGAGAAACAATGGCCATTTGCAAAAATGTCAAATTTAGTTCCCTGTACACTCAATGGCGGCGCTTCAAATCGACACAAACGTTTTGTAGGGTAAAACCAGTCCAGTGTACTAGTATGTAATATGGAGGTCAGTGAATAAGTCAAAATAACATACTCGTAATATGGAAGTTTAATTAAAATTATATTAACTATGGAGACGAAAACTTGATATGATATATATTTTTCTTGAATAAGGATAACAAACTAGTAAACAGTCCACCTGATGGTAAGTGGATGCTGTGGCTAATAGACATCTACATCTATCCTCGGTTAGGAATCAAAATGCAGATGTGTTGTTGTTGTGAGGAATAAGATGGAATGCCTCGCTACCAGTAAAAAGGGTCTCCGGTTCTTTACACATACAAAACAGCAGTATTAAGCTGCAATGCAGTAATGAAATTAACATTTATTATGACATTCTAGCAGTGAATTTAACTTACATTTATTTTGTTAGCTTGACATTTACCACAATAAGCTAACTTTTAGTGTGATGTAGCACGCACTATCCAACTTCTATGGTATATGATATTTGTAGCTAGCATTTATTGGTAGCTTGACATTTACAATATAGGTTAACATTTGGCGTGATAAAGCAAGCATTTATTTTAAAGGTTTGGCAGTCTAAGATATTTTCATAGCTTTTATGTTTTTTTATTATTTTTCTTCCAAATAAACCACTAGACTAATTAAAAAAAAATGTTCGATTTCTGTTCAAAAGAGAAATAAAGAGATAACATTTATTGAAATGTTTGCCGATATCACCGCTACTACCCGTGCAGTTAAAGAATGGGATTGAAAATGGTGTCGTCTCTATTTACCTCTCGCTTGCACACTATCGCTATCTATATTCACGCACGCCGGTAAAGATTACTAAAAATACGTTACGATATGCGTTTTTCGTACTTCCTATAACTTCAGTCTAATTTGTCATTGGCGTCAATGATAATAAAATGCCATAAACTCCAAAAAAAAAAACATTCAGTGTGGTTTCGCTAATTTATGTGCTACTATGTGTTCGGAGAATTTTCTTAATTACTCGTATTGTTGATTTTGTTTGATAATATTTTTGTATAAAATATTTACATGCTATTGAGAAACCGTTTTTAAAATTTTTGTTTGTCTTTGACTTGTTTCTATCCGATCTATACTACATATATCTATCTAACAAATGGAGAGTAATACAAGGATTGATCTAGAGACTAAATTTTATCCATAAAATTTAGAGATTTTATTAAGATAGAAATATTGATAAGATGAAATAAATGGTCTTTAATATCTTAAGTCTATATAACGCTACATTAATAGCTCCCACCCAGACGAAGAGACAGAGCGTACCGCTACAATTTTTTTCAAATATTTTCCCATTAATAGAAAATTTCCAATTAACTGAATAATATAACTTTACAACAATATACCGTTGTTAGCGGGTTTTGGCTATTGGTACTGTGCATGTTGACGGTACGGGCTAGATGATGCCGCCATTTCCAATCCCATCTTTTAAAACCAAACCACGTACCGCAGTGGTTTGATCGACGTGTGACATAACGACGCTATCGGCAAACCTTTTGCGCGCGGGTTGTACTGCAATGGGATGGACCAAGCCCAGGCGTGGGCGCGTATATTGTACGCGGCAGTAAAGTGCATGTGGGGTGCGGGCAGGGTGCTGTGGTGCTGCGCGTGCGTGGCGCGCTGGTGGGCGGCGCGGGCGGCGGGCGGGGCGGGCGGCGGGGCGGGAGGGGCGGGCGGCGCGGCGGGCGCGTGGCTGGCGGCGCGCGGCTCGTGCCCCGTGTGCCGCGCCGTCTTCTGCCTGCTGGACGTGCGGCCCGCGCGCCGCAGACCCTCCTGAACCTTAATACTTTACTACCGCTAGCGACCCACGCACAATCACCCCTAATAACCTTTCGTTCACCACGTCGCTAGTTTTGACTGAGGTCAAGTCGTCTGTTACACAATGACGTTATAATTGAGAAGTTGCGTTATAAATAAAAGGCTATCGGTATCTTAAGTATGTAAATACACAAAATAATGCCTCAGTTGATTGCTTTTTAATTTTTTGCTCATTTTTAACTCTCTTATTAATTTTTCTACTTTTACCAATATCTATATGTAAATATAGCAGTATCAGGCTGCTGTTTTACGCTGGTATTTTGTGAGAGCGTAATTTCCCCGGTCGAACTGGCGTCTCAGCCTCTACCAAATAAAAAAATAATGTTTTTGTGTAGTAGCAACATCTTTATTTGAAGCTACAAATTAGGTAGTAAGCAAATAAGCATCTGACTCAGTACTATGCTGCAATGGAATAATCACAGCGCTCATATTCTATCGGTGTTGTTCTTATCTAAAACTCACAAACGGTCGTCAAGCATGAGTTTTGTCTATGATAAGCCGATCTGCTTAAAAGAAAATGTTACAATTTTGTTTTAATTTCCTTAGTAGGTAGGTACATGTCATGGAGGAAGAGGAACTCTTAAGTCTACGTTTTGAGAGTTCCTCTGACCGACAAAAAACGACGAAGGAGACTTAGAATATAGGTACCTTTGTCATTTTTAAACATGTTAATATATAATTCATATAAACCAAAGGATATCTGTAAGTATGTAAATTCAATTTAGGGATGATCGATGTTGTAGAAATATCGATGATGACATCGATAGCTGAACATCGATGTTCGATGTTTATCCTACTCAAAACATCGATGCTGGCCATTATCGATGTTTTTTGCACATGTATTTAATAGGGTAGATTAAAAGAAGAAAAAAAAATTCATGTTGTTTATTGTTTATAATTAATGACATTAAAGAAATTAATAAACAATGTAGTGTAAAACTGTAATTAAAAAAAATTGTAAGAAGTTGACAAATATCTAGTTCATTTGTTATATAGTCCAATATTTTTGCCGATTGATTGATGAAATAGTAATTTTGACAAAGAAGTACCTTTCAATCGGTTTCTCTGTTGATAAAGAATTGAGCCAGCTATTGATAATAATTAAAAATAAAAATTTTGTACAACTGACTTCAGTATAAATTATTAAGGATAACTCAAAAACTATTGGTCAGACTTATATGGGTCAAATTTATATGGGACCACATGACGAAGTACTAGCTTTCAAATAAAAAAAGTATCATCGCAATCGGTTCATTCAGAAAAAACTTATGAGGTAACACACATTAAAAAAAAAGAACATACAGTCGAATTGAGTACTTCCTCCTTTTTGAAGTCGGTAGATAACCGCTCAGATTGCGTTGATGTAGCGATTGTGGTCAAATATCTCACCGCAAGTTTTTTATTTTTATTTTAGATAGGTAAAACCAATAACATTGTCTTAAACGTGTATTGATTAGATCGTCTTTAAGATCAATCATCAGATTTTTTTAAAAATAACCCACAAAGAAACAGACAATCAACAACGACACCAATAACAAAACGGAATCAGTGACAACTGCGACATTACAGTTGACACTTGACAGTTAAATTTGATACCCCATAATGATATCTTTTTAGGTTATCGATACGTTTAAACGTTCTGAATTATTCAAAATTTTTAATATTTTATAGGAGTTCGCAAGTACCCAATAATCGATTATGGGTTTATTAACAGCGATGTTTTGATGTTTGACATGTGGCAAAATCGATGTTAAAACATCGATGTTTTCATTTTTGACATCGATGATCATCGATCATCCCTAAATCAATTTAGTTTATCGTTATACTCTTAGCGATATCAAAGTGTTAAATGAATGTATTGAAAACACAACAACTACAGAGCGGAGAAGGTATGTGTATTAAATGTTTTTGTTTTATTTTTGAAAAATTCACTATGATTTATTTTCAAAAATATGCGTAAAAGATATATTGTTTATTCTAACTTTGAGGATGATCCAAGAGTTTATTAAAAGTTTTATGTCGAAAACTAACAAATATTGTAGACCTTACATTATGCGCTACAAGACAAACTATTTAGCGTGTTTATTAATTTAATATACTTGTAATAAGTGTTCGTTATACAAGGCATGAAGATGTATATGATATCTATGTAGGTATGTATCAAACTTCCTTAAACTCAATGTTTTAGATTATAGGGGCTTCCTCGCAGAACACTTATATCTTCAGGCAAGGTCTTCGTGATGTAAATGTGTTCTGGTTGTACGTTGTGGGATCTAGAACATCTAATCCAAAACGCATACTATATTACAAATGCTTTAAATGTTTATATTAATATTTTATAAGAGATTTTTTGATGGACCTTTAAATTCTTAATAATTAAAATAGAGTAGCACACTTTTATTCAATGTATAGATTATAAATAATTCTTATTGAAAGACATTTTTGAAGTGATTTGAAACTCGTCGAAACGAAAAAGTGACACTTTTCGTTTTTATTTCACAAATATGTAAGATAGTGACACCCAGTCTTGGAGTCCAAATTTTTGAACAGCGCAAATGTTAAACCAACACTAAGGACTATAATTTGTAACAAAAAGCAAATAATAGTTATCATTTAAGATGAAAATTATAATGTGACACCCGATAAGTCCCAGTAATGGACAACTTCAACCGCATTTGTGTAGACCCGCTTATGGACATTCCCCAGTTATAGACATACTATGATGCATAAATTAATCTAGTGATTGATTGATTTGAAATATTTTATTTACACGATAAATAAAGAACATTTTTGCAGGTGCTTAAAAATCTTTTATTCTTTAAACTAATCAACGTTTAACATTTATTATTATTAGGATAGGATATCATCCATCACAATATTATCGTAGGAACTTTTAAACAAGCGTGTATTGTACCTGTTACATCATTACCGACGTAAGTAGTCACAAATTATTCAAAATATTTATGGAAATATTTGTTAAGTTGAAGAAATAAATATTTACAATAATAAACAAACTAAAATTCTCTTTCAATTTTATTTCTTAAATTAAGTACTGCTCATTGATATCAACACAATCTGTGAATATAACGCAATTATATTTCACAATAGGCTGATGTAGGTAGGTAATAACTTCATTTTATCAATTATTGAAATATCTTTCTCTACAAGTTTAAACACTAACATTTTTTTTATTTAAGCTCTTGCACAACCATTTCGTCATTAGAAAACGACTCTTCTATTCTGCAAACACCTATACGCACTATTACCATTCTTGGATTTAAATTTAGCCAATACAAAAATGGTCTCACGATTTCTGTTTCTGTGACATTTGGATAATCATCAAAATTAACAGTCTTTATCATATTAGAAGAAGCGAGCTTTAATATCATTTGAACAGACACATTACTCAGTATCTTAAATCCAAGATCTTTATTTAGTTGTGCCTTCTCCTTCTCGTCTTGTGTGCTGTCCTTCTTGTCGTGTGATTTTTCCTTTTTGTCCTGTGGGGTTTCGTTATTGTCCTGTGGGTTTTCCTTCTTTTCCTGGGGTTTGCCCTTCTTGTTCTGTGATTTTTCGTTCTCCTTATGGTCCTGTGTGCCATTCTTCTGCGAATACCTCTGAATTGGTGTCTAAAACATTTTTTCACATCGATCTCCCATCTTATCTGCTTCCATACCGTGTATCACCATTTCCGGTAACACGTTCTCTACCGCTACTTTTCTAAAACCTTTTAATTTCTTAACATCTTATTATCGTCTACTACCATGCTATTTGTTACCACCTCATTTGTTCTACTACTATCTGTAGCTCATTTTTATCAACAACCATCTCATTTTCATAAACTGTCATCTCATTCTCATAAACTATCATCTCATTCTCATCTACTGCCATTTTTTTACCGTTCTTTTTTGTGAGATTCTACGAGTTTTCTGTTATTTTTATTTAATTCAATAAATAAGTCAATAAGTAAGTAGGAATTTCAAAAAATATACTGTATTAAATTGTTTTCTGTACAATATCTAACAAACACCGAGCATTGCGATGTTGCTGAAATGTCGGTGCTGGAATCGAATGCCAAGCTAAAAAATGTTCTTATGTTATCTAATATATCATCGTGAATAAATTTAGAAATGTCTTCAATACGCCTCATTCAGGTTGAATCCGAGAGCTGTAGTTCTTTTTATATCACATAGTATTTGCTTTTTGTTACTATATTTATCAAAAATTATACTGGCAGCACTAACAAAGCATTCCATTACAATTTCTGCATCGGAAAATGGTTTCATATGCTTACCAACAATGTAACAAATTTAATATGATGCCTTAGTTACCGCGAAGTCTTGTGATAATGCCACAGACATAACATTTTGTTGTTGATGCAATGCAATCTCTTTAAAAAACTCAATTTCTCATTTCTCAAGGAAGATCCAGGAGGAAACGTTTCCTCGGAGAATTTATGTTTTGTGGTAAAATGAATATTGTATTTCTTCAATATAATATTTTCACGACATATCAAACAAGTAGCTGCATTGTTTTTGTTTGGCACAACAAAATAATCTGTTTCTCACTCATCTTGTAACAATCTATTTTCACTGGATATTTTTGTTTTGAACTTAGAAGACACTCCCGACATTATTTTGAAAATAAAATAATAATTTTACTCCAAAGAACACAATTAATTGCGTTTGCGACTGGTGAAACGTAAGAAACGCGCAGTGCCTCACGAGTTTTCTTGTCAATAGCAATTAAATGAAAACCTGTCGGTCCGATGTGGAAAAACTTAAGAAAGCAAAAATTATTAAGAAATTAGCTGTTCCCCGCGACTTCTCCCGCATGGAATTATTTTGCGCGAAAGCCTAAAATAAAAGTAGCCTACGTTACTCCTTATAACATCATCTATCTACCAGTGAAAGTCCCATTCAAATCGGTTCACAGGTTTTTGCGTGATGCGTGTTCAGA